AACACAGTCTGTTACAGAGAGGCTGTACCACATAAACAACAGATGAGGGGAACATAAGAGGTTTCAGATAGCTGAGTGAGAGTGGACAGTGGAGACATTTCACCGCCAGATGACCCTATGAATATATAATACTGTACACCGTGATTTCATTATTAGCAAAGAAAGGTTTACATAGACCTACACTATTGGAGCTGCTTGCTTGTCAATACATTAACACTATTTACACAAATCACTTGTTGGTTAAATAGCTATTCTGTAGTCTATATAATAGTTTTTAAAAAAAACAATTCCAGAAACTGTTAATGAACCATGTCGTTTATCAGCTGAATATCAACTGTCGGGTGGCAAGAGCACGCAACTCCTTACACAACGGATTGTTGTGTGGAAAGAAATGTGTTCTAATAAGCCCAATCATCATTTCTAAATGCAATCTCGGGAAAAGACAACCGCTTTGATGGCAGTTATTGAGAAGAGGGAGATCCCAGCTTTCCGCTGCTGTGTCATTTATCTCTCAACCCAAAACTCTTGGCCAATTGGCAGCGTTTTACAACCTGAGCGTCTGGCATGACAAAACAAAGTAACTACGGGATTCGCATAGGGCCATTTTAATGAATAAACAGTAGGCCACTATAAAATTCACATAATTACACTATTTAAAAACATTTTAAAAAATCACCTGATTTTATTTAGTGCCAGTTGGATTTTGGGGGGGGATATTAAACAAACAATATCATATAGCTAATGATTCGCCCACTGGTGTAAACAATGCAGAGGAGAAACCCCCTGCTTCAGCCATATAACCACCATGCTGCATCAGACAGGTGGCCATGCTCCAGCCACCTGTCTAATGCAGCATGGTAGCTACATGGCTGAAGCATGGCCTCCTGTCTGATGCTGCATGGTAGCTACATGGCTGGAGCATGGCCTCCTGTCTGATGCAGCATTGTGTCTACATGGCTGAAGCATGGCCTCCTGTCTGATGCAGCATGGTAGCTACATGGCTGAAGCATGGCCTCCTGTCTGATGCTGCATGGTAGCTACATGGCTGGAGCATGGCCTCCTGTCTGATGCAGCATGGTAGCTACATGGCTGAAGCATGGCCTCCTGTCTGATGCTGCATGGTGGTTATATGGCTGGAGCATGGCCTCCTGTCTGATGCAGCATGGTAGCTACATGGCTGGAGCATGGCCTCCTGTCTGATGCAGCATGGTAGCTACATGGCTGGAGCATGGCCTCCTGTCTGATGCAGCATGGTAGCTACATGGCTGGAGCATGGCCTCCTGTCTGATGCAGCATGGTAGCTACATGGCTGGAGCATGGCCTCCTGTCTGATGCAGCATGGTAGCTACATGGCTGGAGCATGGCCTCCTGTCTGATGCAGCATGGTAGCTACATGGCTGGAGCATGGCCTCCTGTCTGATGCAGCATGGTAGCTACATGGCTGAAGCATGGCCTCCTGTCTGATGCTGCATGGTGGTTATATGGCTGAAGCATGGCCTCCTGTCTGATGCTGCATGGTGGTTATATGGCTGAAACATGGTCTCCTGTCTGATGCAGCATGGTAGCTACATGGCTGGAGCATGGCCTCCTGTCTGATGCTGCATGGTAGCTACATGGCTGAAGCATGGCCTCCTGTCTGATGCAGCATGGTAGCTACATGGCTGGAGCATGGCCTCCTGTCTGATGCAGCATGGTAGGTTACATGGCTGGGAGCATGGCCACCTGTCTGATGCGGCATGGTTGGTTACATAGGCTGGAGCATGGCCTCCCCTGTCTGATGCAGCATGGTAGCTACATGGCTGGAGCATGGCCTCTGCTGACTGCAGCTGGTAGCTACATGGTGGAGCATGGCTCTGTCTGATGCTGCATGCGTGGTTATATGGCTGGAGCATGGCCTCTGCTGATGCACATGGTGGTTATATGGCTGAGCATGGCCTCCGTCTGAGCTGAATGTGGTTCTATGGCGAACCATGGCCTCCTGTCTGATGCTGCAGGTGGTTATATGGCTGGAGACATGGCCTCCTGTCGGATGCAGCCATGGTAGCCTACATGGCTGGAGCATTGGCCTCCTGTTTGATGCCTGCATGGTGGTTATATGGCTGAAGCATGGCCTCCTGTCTGATGCTGCATGGTGGTTATATGGCTGGAGCATGGCCTCCTGTCTGATGCTGCATGGTAGCTACATGGCTGGAGCATGGCCTCCTGTCTGCTGCATGGTAGCTACATGGCTGGAGCATGGCCACCTGTCTGATGCAGCATGGTAGCTACATGGCTGAAGCATGGCCTCCTGTCTGATGCAGCATGGTAGCTACATGGCTGGAGCATGGCCTCCTGTCTGATGCTGCATGGTAGCTACATGGCTGAAGCATGGTCTCCTGTCTGATGCAGCCTGGTGTCTACATGGCTGGAGCATGGCCTCCTGTCTGATGCAGCATGGTAGCTACATGGCTGGAGCATGGCCACCTGTCTGATGCAGCATGGTAGCTACATGGCTGGAGCATGGCCTCCTGTCTGATGCAGCATGGTAGCTACATGGCTGGAGCATGGCCTCCTGTCTGATGCAGCATGGTAGCTACATGGCTGGAGCATGGCCTCCTGTCTGCTGCATGGTAGCTACATGGCTGGAGCATGGCCTCCTGTCTGATGCAGCATGGTAGCTACATGGCTGAAGCATGGCCTCCTGTCTGATGCAGCATGGTAGCTACATGGCTGGAGCATGGCCTCCTGTCTGATGCTGCATGGTAGCTACATGGCTGGAGCATGGCCTCCTGTCTGCTGCAGCATGGTAGCTACATGGCTGGAGCATGGCCTCCTGTCTGATGCAGCATGGTAGCTACATGGCTGAAACATGGCCTCCTGTCTGATGCTGCATGGTAGCTACATGGCTGAAGCATGGCCTCCTGTCTGATGCAGCATGGTAGCTACATGGCTGGAGCATGGCCTCCTGTCTGATGCAGCATGGTAGCTACATGGCTGAAGCATGGCCTCCTGTCTGATGCAGCATGGTAGCTACATGGCTGGAGCATGGCCTCCTGTCTGATGCAGCATGGTAGCTACATGGCTGGAGCATGGCCTCCTGTCTGATGCAGCATGGTAGCTACATGGCTGGAGCATGGCCTCCTGTCTGATGCTGCATGGTAGCTACATGGCTGGAGCATGGCCTCCTGTCTGATGCAGCATGGTAGCTACATGGCTGGAGCATGGCCTCCTGTCTGATGCAGCATGGTAGCTACATGGCTGAAGCATGGCCTCCTGTCTGATGCAGCATGGTAGCTACATGGCTGGAGCATGGCCTCCTGTCTGATGCAGCATGGTAGCTACATGGCTGGAGCATGGCCTCCTGTCTGATGCAGCATGGTAGCTACATGGCTGAAGCATGGCCTCCTGTCTGATGCAGCATGGTAGTTACATGGCTGAAGCATGGCCTCCTGTCTGATGCAGCATGGTGGTTATATGGCTGGAGCATGGCCTCCTGTCTGATGCAGCATGGTAGTTACATGGCTGAAGCATGGTCTCCTGTCTGATGCAGCATGGTAGTTACATGGCTGAAACATGGCCTCCTGTCTGATGCTGCATGGTAGCTACATGGCTGAAGCATGGCCTCCTGTCTGATGCTGTAAATATCTGATTGTATGGTTGGCTATAATATAAGGTCCTTGCCCAGACTGCAAATGAAACATGAAATCACCCACAATTGAAATTCTGCATGCATAACTTGCTTTCCTGTGATCTTGGCCCGGTGTGCCACTGGATGTCAAGCCCTGAGATAAGGTGCCACGGAGTGAGGGACTCCAGACAGGTGGCAGAGGAAGAAAAGCAAGAGAGCAGAAAGAGAGAAAGCAATCTTTACCCGTTACAAAAACCTTCCCGCTGCCATATCACCGGTTAAAACATTCAACTATTCACAGATGTTAGAATTCCGGGTTTATTAGTTTGTCCACCCCCCCCACACACACACACACACTCTGCCACCCCTCTCCATCTCGTCTGACCTCCTCCGCTTGCGTGTCACGTCACCATGGCAACAGGCTCCGCGCGTGTGTTTTTCTATGACTCACTCCCTGAAAAATTGCCTCGGTGGTGCTTGAAATTAGGCACCGTGGCCCAGAGAGGGGGAACTGGTCTGGAATAAATGCAGACAGACTAAGCTAAAATAGAAAAAACTAAATAACTTTGTGCCTGGTCACTAGGAAATGACTGATGCTATGAAGATGCTAATAACCTGCTGTTTCTGCTCTTCTCTCCTTTTACCCTCTCTTCTCCCATCTCCTCCCCATCTCACGTGTCCTCTTCAACTTTCATCTATCTGCCTCTTTTTATACACATACCATCTGGCTGTGCTGTGGAGAGCAACACCTCTTCCTTTATCACACTACTGTACTTCCTCCCCATTCTGTTCTAACTGACTACAACCACAGCACCTCTGCTCATCGCCCCCCTCCCAGCTAGCATCGCCCCCCCCCCTCCCAGCTAGCATCGCCCCCCCTCCCAGCTAGCATCGCCCCCCCCTCCCAGCTAGCATCGCCCCCCCCTCCCAGCTAGCATCGCCCCCCCTCCCAGCTAGCATCGCCCCCCCCTCCCAGCTAGCATCGCCCCCCCCTCCCAGCTAGCATCGCCCCCCCCTCCCAGCTAGCATCGCCCCCCCCTCCCAGCTAGCATCGCCCCCCCCCTCCCAGCTAGCATCGCCCCCCCCTCCCAGCTAGCATCGCCCCACCCTCCCCAGCTAGCATCGCCCCCCCTCCCAGCTAGCATCGCCCCCCCCCTCCCAGCTAGCATCGCCCCCCCCTCCCAGCTAGCATCGCCCCCCCCTCCCAGCTAGCATCGCCCCCCCCTCCCAGCTAGCATCGCCCCCCCTCCCAGCTAGCATCGCCCCCCCCTCCCAGCTAGCATCGCCCCCCCTCCCAGCTAGCATCGCCCCCCCTCCAAGCTAGCATCGCCCCCCCCTCCCAGCTCTGCTGCTCCTCTTCTCTCCAGGCTGAGAGACCCCAGAGAATGGACCATCAATCAACCAAAGTCAGGTTAAGACCTGATGGAGTGGTGTTGCCACTGACCAGCTTGCTGGAGGAGGAGACCTGTTGGAGAACACGACACTAGTTTTTCTTTACTGGGAACATTCTCTTATTTTCCTGGCCAATATAATGCAAGTAAGCGTTTAATTGTACTGTGTACACCAGGTATATCATGTGCATATGAAGAATAAACTTTGATTAGAGAAATATTGTTTTATAACATTGTCAAGTACTTCAAGAGCTTCCCCTACAGTTGTGATATTACAGGAGGATGCTTCAAGAGCTTCCCCTACAGTTGTGATATTACAGGAGGAGGCTTCAAGAGCTTCCCCTACAGTTATGATATTACAGGAGGATGCTTCAAGAGCTTCCCCTACAGTTGTGATATTACAGGAGGATGCTTCAAGAGCTTCCCCTACAGTTGTGATATTACAGGAGGATGCTTCAAGAGCTTCCCCTACAGTTGTGATATTACAGGAGGATGCTTCAAGAGCTTCCCCTACAGTTGCCAACGGAAAGTGTAAAATACTGCTGTAAAACTTAATACATTCTAATTGTTCAGGTTTTGCTATGAGCTACTGAATTGTATGGCTGAAAGTAAGTGTATTTGCAGAGAAATGGCATTTGTCAGTAAATTAATTCAGCTATACTGGTTATTGGTCTTCTAATTATGAACATCTTGATAGGGCAACGGCAGGCGTTACACAGCTTCAAAACGGCAGCCTTGATGAGGCTGACTAACAACAACTTTGTTTTTTTTCCATCTGGAGAGATACAGTTGAAGTCGGAAGTTTACATACACTTAGGTCGGAGTAATTGAAACTTGTTTTTCAACCACTCAACAAATGTCTTGTTAAACTATAGTTTTGGCAAGTCGGTTAGGACATCTACTTTGTGCATGACACAAGTAATTTTTCCAACAATTCTTTACAGACAGATTATTTCATTTATAATTTACTGTATTACAATTCCAGTGGGTCAGAAGTTTACATACACTAAGTTGACTGTGCCTTTAAACAGCTTGGAAAATTCCAGAAAATTATATCATGGCTTTAGAAGCTTCTGATAGGCTAATTGACATCATTTGAGTCAATTTGAGGTGTACCTGTGGATGTATTTCAAGGCCTACCTTCAAACTCAGTGCCTCTTTGCTTGACATCATGGGAAAATCAAAATAAATCAGCCAAGACCTCAGAAAAGAAAATGGTAGACCTCCACAAGTCTGGTTCATCCTTGGGAGCAATTTACAAACGCCTGAAGGTACCACGTTCATCTGTACAAACAATAGTACGCAAGTATAAACACCATGTGACCACACAGCCGTCATACCACTCAGGAAGGAGACGCGTTCTGTCTCCTAGAGATTAACGTACTTTGGTGCGAAAAGTGCAAATCAATCCCAGAACAACAGCAAAGGACCTTGTGAAGATGCTGGAGGAAACAGGTACAAAAGTATCTATATCCACAGTAAAACGAGTCCTATATCGACATAACCTGAAAGGTCGCTCAGCAAGGAAGAAGCCACTGCTCCAAAATCGCCATAAAAAAGCCAGACTACGGTTTGCAACTGCACATGGGGACAAAGATCGTACTTTTTGGAGAACTGTCCTCTGGTCGGATTAAACAAAAATAGAACTGTTTGGCCATAATGACCATTGTTATGTTTGGAGGAAAAAGGGGGTCGCTTGCAAGCCGAAGAACACCATCCCAACCGTGAACCATGGGGGTGGCAGCATCATGCTGTGGAGGTGCTTTGCTGCAGGAGGGACTGGTGCACTTCACAAAATAGATGGCATCATGAGGAAGGAAAATTATGTGGATATATTGAAGCAACATCTCAAGACATCAGTCAGGAAGTTAAAGCTTGGTCGCAAATGGGTCTTCCAAATGGACAATGACCCCAAGCATACTTCCAAAGTTGTGGCAAAATGGCTTAAAGACAACAAAGTCAAGGTATTGGAGTGGCCATCACAAAGCCCTGACCTCAATCCTATAGAACATTTGTGGGCAGAACTGAAAAAGCGTGTGCGAGCAAGGAGGCCTACAAACCTGACTCAGTTACACCATCTCTGTCAGGAGGAATGGGCCAAAATTCAGCCAACTTATTGTGGGAAGCTTGTGGAAGGCTACCTGAAATGTTTGACCAAAGTTAAACAATTGAAAGGCAATGCTACCAAATACTAATTGAGTGTATGTAAACCCACTGGGAATGTGATGAAATAAATAAAACCTGAAATAAATCACTCTACTATTATTCTGACATTTCACATTCTTAAAATAAAGTGGTGATCCTAACTTTTTACTAGGATTAAATGTCAGGAATTGTGAAAAACTGAGTTTAAATGTATTTGGCTAAGGTGTATGTAAACTTCCGACTTCAACTGTACATTGTTGTTAGTAGGGGATAAAGCCAGCGAAGCGTTTATTATTATTATTATTATTATTATTATTATTATTATTATTATTATTATTATGGTTCTTCCATTACGAAACATTTACATGCAAATTCCTCTGCGATGGTAAGGCCTAGGAGGGTGTGATGGTAAATGTTATTGGTGTAACGGTTCACCAAACCCACGGATCGGTACGTATTGCAGTTCTGACAATTCTCATTGAGCAGTGGCGACATACTGGTAACGTTTTATCCACAACTCTGTCTATCGCCGTTGTAATCTACTGTGAAGCCAAAATGTTCCCAAACTGGAAATTAAAACGATGGAGGATCCTCCAATTCTGGTTTATCGACCACACCACTCGCCATCGTACAGGACTAGTTCCCATCTGCCAAAAAGAGCTTCTGGACATCAGAACAGCGATCACTAACCTCCATTTGGACCAGGACTTCTACTTCAATGAGTCTGAGGCGAAAGACATTGTTTATCCCAGACCAGGCCCGAATCCCGGACACTCGAAGGAGACGGCTCTATAGAGGCCGACAGGCGGGATACCTGACGAGAATACGTAGAAGTGGATAATCCGCCTCTACCTTCTGTTCTATTGGCGAACATGCAATCACTGGAAAATAAACTGGATGAGCTCTTTCAAGACTATCCTATCAACGTGATCTGTAGAACTGTAATATCATATGTTTCTCCGAGTCGTGGCTGAACAAGGACATGGTAAATATAAATCGAACTGTTTTTTCTATGCTTTGATAGAACGGTGGAGTCGGGGAAGCTCAGGGGGAGGGAGTGTATGTCTCTGTTAACAGCTGGTTCGCGATCAGTAATATTAAAGGAAGTCTCGGGGCTCTGCTCGCCCGAGATGGAATACCTCATGATAAGCTGTAGAACATACCATTTACAGAGAGAGTTATTTATATTTTTCTTAGCCATTTGCCACCACAAACCGATGTTGACAGTAAGACCATACACAACGAGCTGTACAGGACCATACACAAACAAGAAAATGCTCACCCAGAGAATGCTCACCCAGCCAAGGTAACCTGTCTAAATGACTAACACCCCGTAGCACTCACGTCTGTAGCCATGAAATGCTTTGTAAGGCTGGTCATGGCTCACGTCAACACAATCAGCCCAGACACTCTGGACCCAAGTCGCATACCGCCCCAACAGATCCACAGATGACGCAATCTCTATTGCACTCCACACTGCCCTTTCCCACCTGGACAAAAAGGAACACCTACGTGAGAATTTAGTTCTTCGACTACAGCTCAGCGTTCAACACCATCGTAACCTCCAAGCTCAGGACCCTGGGACTAAACACCTCCCTCCTGGACTTCCTCTCCCTCAACGTCAGCTGATCGTGGATTACAGGAAACGGACGGCCGACCACGCCCCCATCCACAGGGCTGTAGTGGAGCAAGCCAAGAGGTTCAAGTTCATCGTTGTCCACATCACTAAGGAATTTTCACGGTCCACACACACCAACAGTGAAAAGGGCACGACAACGACTCTTCCCCCTTCAGGAGGCTGAAAATATTCAGCATGGGCCCTCAGATCCTCAAAAAGTTATACAGCTGCACCATTGAGAGCATCTTGACTGGCTGCATTACCGCTTGTATATAAACTGCTCGGCATCTGACCGCAAGGCGCTACAGAGGGTAGTGCGTATGGCTCAGTACATCACTTGGTCTGAGCTCCCTGCCATCCAGGACCTCTATACCAGGCGGTGTCAGAGGAAGGCCCTAAAAATTGTCAAAAGGCTCCAGCCACCCGTCATAGACTGTCCTCCAATGCACCAAGTCAAACGCGTTCCACAGGGATGCTGGCCCACGTAGACTCCAATGCGTCCCACAGTTGTTTCAAGTTGGCTGGATGCCCTTTGGGTGGTGGACCATTCTTGATACACACGGAAAACTGTTGAGCGTTACAGTTGACACAAACCGGTGTGTATCATAACAAAATTTGACGTGGATGGTCAAAACACTCAACATATGCAAGCACATTTAGATCGACCACATGGGGGCGTCAGAAAAGGCATGTTTATATCTCTTGATCTGTTTGACTCAGAGTGATGCGAGTCTAGCTAACCTGTAGAGCAGGGTTCTTCAATTCCGGTCCTGGAGGGCCGAAACACTTCAGTTTTCTTTATTTCTACCTGGTAGTTAATTGCACTCACCTGGTGTCCCAGGTCTGAATTAGCCCCTGATTAGAAGGAGAGGATGAAAAACCAGAGGTGTTTCGGCCCTCCAGGACCGGAATTGAAGAACCCTGCTGTAGAGTTTGGTTCTGTTTGGCCGCATGGTGGGCGCTGTTGGACAGGAAACCAATTCATTCTCATGTTGTTTCAGCTAGAGCCTCGGAAAATGTTGAATTTGAAGAGGTCCATCATTAATGATGACATATATACCAAATTTGGTGCCGATCGGTCCAGCAGAAGACATTTAAAGTAGTCAACATCGTTAAAAAAATGGTCCAAAATACTTCAAAACGCGTATTTGCATGATCAGTTTGATTTTGAATTTGGATATTTGACAAGTGTGGTAAGGAATCCATGAAAAGCTCATCCCAGGGTGATGTGCCCAACCTGTCCTGATGGTGGCGCTATGGGGCCAGTGTGTGTCCAACCTGTCCTGATGGTGGCGCTATGGGGCCAGTGTGCGTCCAACCTGTCCTGATGGTGGCGCTATGGGGCCAGTGTGTCTCCAACCTGTCCTGATGGTGGCGCTATGGGGCCAGTGTGTGGGCACGTTTGAAATGTTTCATTGTTTCACTATTAATACAGCAGATGCTCTTATCCAGAGCGACTTACAGTTAAGTGAGTGCATACATTTTCATACTGGCCCCCCGTGGGAATCGAACCCACAACCCTGGCGTTGCAAACGCCATGCTCTACCAACTGAGCTACATCCCTGCCGGCCATTACCTCCCCTACCCTGGACGACGCTGGCTAATTGTGCGCCGCCCCGTGGGTCTCCCGGTCGCGGCCGGCTACGACAGAGCCTGGATTCGAACCAGGATCTCTAGTGGCACAGCTTTAGACCGACAGAGTCATAACTAAACTCACTTCAACATTTACCAATAACCAATAACCCCAGCAACCGTGCTTGCAGCTTTAATTATTTTTGTTATTATGAGTTGTTAATATATGGGGAGAGTGCGTGTAAGGTCAAGTGAGAATGGGCATGTTCGTGCTTTTGAATAGATTTATTGGAGACGGATGGTTTTCAGGTTGACAACAGCGTGGGCTGACTAGACCTAGTCCTTGGAATCAGCAAGTAATTATACAAAATACACTGAACTGCATTCTGTAGTCTACGTCATCTCCATTCAAAAATAAACCGCTTCATCTCCCGCCTGTCTCCTCCCTTCCCCCTCACATGCAATAATATGATTTCATCATCACTTTCCAATGGGTACATAAGCTGTAGATAACAAAACCTACACTAGAACTTCACTGGACTCCTCCCAAGGGACGGTTAGGGGCTGGGGTAGGGGGTGAGTGATGGGAGAGGGGTGAGTGATGGGAGAGGGGTGAGTGATGGGAGAGGGGTGAGTGATGGGAGAGGGGTGAGTGATGGGAGAGGGAGGACCGCTTGACACACACTTAGGTGTGGAGAGAGTAGTCAGAAATGCACGCGCACACATTCAGAGTGACTGTTTGAAACGCGTGGAGAAAGCATTGCCGATTGCTCAAAATCGACAGACTGAACACGGCGCAGCGTTGCGTATTGAAGGAACGGTTAACAGGCGAGAGCTTTGTCCCCGATCCATCAGGGATAATGGTGTTGGTCGGCTGGTGCGAGGGAGGAGCGGTGTGTGCACGTTTATAAAGTGGTACTCCCTCTAAAACATCAGTGTGTGTGGTGTAGAGTTAAGGCAGGTGACTCAGAAGTAACTACACCTCAGATAGAGGATATTGGATATGACTAACCATATATTACACATCGATCTGAAACCTAATGCTGCGACTAACGCATTCATTAAAGGCGGTAGTAGCTACAGGGCTGAAAGGGAGACATTGACGAACCGGGAACCCGGTCTAGACAGAAGAGACATTGAGGAACCCCTTTTAACCTGCTTAGAAGGACCACATACAGTGGGGGAAAAAAGTATTTAGTCAGCCACCAATTGTGCAAATTCTCCAACTTAAAAGGATGAGAGAGGCCTGTAATTTTCATCATAGGTACACGTCAACTATGACAGACAAATTGAGATTTTTTTCTCTCCAGAAAATCACATTGTAGGATTTTTTATGAATTTATTTGCAAATGATGGTGGAAAATAAGTATTTGGTCACCTACAAACAAGCAAGATTTCTGGCTCTCACAGACCTGTAACTTCTTCTTTAAGAGGCTCCTCTGTCCTCCACTCGTTACCTGTATTAATGGCACCTGTTTGAACTTGTTATCAGTATAAAAGACACCTGTCCACAACCTCAAACAGTCACACTCCAAACTCCACTATGGCCAAGACCAAAGAGCTGTCAAAGGACACCAGAAACAAAATTGTAGACCTGCACCAGGCTGGGAAGACTGAATCTGCAATAGGTAAGCAGCTTGGTTTGAAGAAATCAACTGTGGGAGCAATTATTAGGAAATGGAAGACATACAAGACCACTGATAATCTCCCTCGATCTGGGGCTCCACGCAAGATCTCACCCCGTGGGGTCAAAATGATCACAAGAACGGTGAGCAAAAATCCCAGAACCACACGGGGGGACCTAGTGAATGACCTGCAGAGAGCTGGGACCAAAGTAACAAAGCCTACAATCAGTAACACACTACGCCGCCAGGGACTCAAATCATGCAGTGCCAGATGTGTCCCCCTGCTTAAGCCAGTACATGTCCAGGCCCGTCTGAAGTTTGCTAGAGTGCATTTGGATGATCCAGAAGAGGATTGGGAGAATGTCATATGGTCAGATGAAACCAAAATATAACTTTTTGGTAAAAACTCAACTCGTCGTGTTTGGAGGACAAAGAATGCTGAGTTGCATCCAAAGAACACCATACCTACTGTGGAGCATGGGGGTGGAAACATCATGCTTTGGGGCTGTTTTTCTGCAAAGGGACCAGGACGACTGATCCGTGTAAAGGAAAGAATGAATGGGGCCATGTATCGTGAGATTGAGTGAAAACCTCCTTCCATCAGCAAGGGCATTGAAGATGAAACGTGGCTGGGTCTTTCGGCATGACAATGATCCCAAACACACCGCCCGGGCAACGAAGGAGTGGCTTCGTAAGAAGCAATTCAAGGTCCTGGAGTGGCCTAGCCAGTCTCCAGATCTCAACCCCATAGAAAATCTTTGGAGGGAGTTGAAAGTCCGTGTTGCCCAGCGACAGCCCCAAAACATCACTGCTCTAGAAGAGATCTGCATGGAGGAATGGGCCAAAATACCAGCAACAGTGTGTGAAAACCTTGTGAAGACTTACAGAAAACGTTTGACCTGTGTCATTGCCAACAAAGGGTATATAACAAAGTATTGAGAAACTTTTGTTATTGACCAAATACTTATTTTCCACCATGATTTGCAAATAAATTCATAAAAAATCCTACAATGTGATTTTCTGGATTTTTTTTCCTCATTTTGTCTGTCATAGTTGACGTGTACCTATGATGAAAATTACAGGCCTCTCATCTTTTTAAGTGGGAGAACTTGCACAATTGGTGGCTGACTAAATACATTTTTTCCCCACTGTACTTCATGAGACAGATGTAAATAAAGCTATTACACAGCTAGAGAGGAGAGAGTAGAGGAGCGCGAATACTAATTCCCTTGTCTGAAAATACTAACATGTTACCCACACAAAGAGGGAGAATTCTCACTGCGGTTGGGCACATTATCCATCTGAAACGTACAAATTGAGACAATGCTTTTCCAATGGGAGTCAATGGTTTTCCAATGGGAGTCAATGGTTTTCCAATGGGAGTCAATGGTTTTCCAATGGGAGTCAATGGTTTTCCAATGGGAGTCATATCCACTGACGGATGAGGGGCAACGGAGATGGTTGTCCATAAAAAAAAAAAGAACTGACAGGGGGGGGGGGCGCTAGTGAGCAAGCCATGGAGTGGTCCACGTTTTTTCCCGAGCTCCTGCTGAAAATTCCATTTAATACCTTCTTTGCGCTTTGACCCCAAAAAGACGACATGGAACAAGGCTTGTCAGCATGCTCAGACACGACTATGCTACAAACCACGGTTAAGAAGCTCGAAACTGATGTGGCTAGCTTTAAGGAACAATGCATACAATTACAAGGTTATATGTAAAGATCCAATAGTACAATCATGGGGGTAGCTGAAGACCCGGGCTCAAGTTCTACCTCATCGGTCTCAAAGTTAGGGAAGGAGGAAGCCGTCAAATTGGATAAAGATGCCCTTGTAGACCGCTCACGTCGGGGCTCTCAAGCAAGAAAGCCTGGCGGGAAACCTTGCGTCAATGTGGCTAAACTACACTACACTACTATCAGATTGTATTGATGGTCTTCGGCGTGCCAGAGAATTTGGCCCAGTTCGGTGCAACGGAGCACCCATCTGTATTTTCCCCAGACTATGAACCCAGCGTTGCTTGTGACCGTGCCGCTTTTCAACGATGTCCCGAGTCTGCTCCGTGGACGTGCAGACGTTCGGGTATGGTGTGGCTTTTCCTGCCCGGCTCCGTATAACATACAACGGCACCGAGAAAGAGTTCCAAGAACCCCATAAGGCGATGGCCTTCGTAAAAGGCGAACATTCTACCGAGGTCGGACAAAAACAAAATGGCTGAATGTTTACCTATTTGGTGATTAGGGTAATGGACGAGCTGAAAATCGAATTAGTAAATCTCGACACAAAAATTATTAACACGGAGAGAAATCAGGGAAAACGCTAGCACACCTGCTGCGTTAGAGAAACACAAATCAAACCATTCCCGGAGATAACTGATGAGGTAACAAATGTATTGATCATTTAGAGGTCAATTCATGCTATCATAAATGTTGTACAAAGCTGGTCATCAAGGCAAAGGGTGGCTATTTGAAGAATCTCACATATAAAATATATTTTGACTTGTTTGGGTTACTACATGATTCCATGTGTGTTATTTCATAGTTTTGATGTCTTCACTGTTATTCTACAATGTAGTAAAAATAAAGAAAAACCCTTGAATGAGTAGGTGTCCAAACCTTTGACTGGTACGTATATTTATTTATTTATTCTCCTCTCTCTTTTACTTCTCTCTATATTGGTTCTTTCTGTTTCCATTTTCTACTGGCCCCCTCTCTCTGTTCCCTCTCTTATCCTCTCCTCTCCTCGACGCTCTCACTCTCGTGCGTCTCTCCCTTTGTAAATATGCCTGTCAAGCTTTAAAGCTGTTGACATGTCATCCTGCGTTTCTGATTGAACTCAGTCCAGAAAATCCTCGTAATCCAGGATTGGATCAGATTAATGCTGCCTTTACTGCTGCTGACCCCAAAACAAACTTATAAAATTTGATCTCAGGGTTTCAGATGGTGGCAAAATCCCAGATTGTTCATTTGGTCATCATAAACAGGGCATAGCCTCAACTTCAACTCTAACCTTTTGCCAATAAAGTACATTCAATATTTTGGATTTTAACCAAGAGGAGCTTTACTGTTGTCCTTAAATACACAGAGGAAACCCCTATAGGCTCCGGTCTAAAGTTGGCAGAGCATGGCATTTGCAACGCCAGGGTTGTGGGTTCGATTCCCACGGGGGGCCAGCATATTAATTTTTTTTTTTTTAATAAAAATAAAAAGTATGCACTCACTAACTCTTGGATAAGAGCGTCTGCTAAATGACTAAAATGTAAAAACATTTATAAAAATAATGTAAAGTAGTGCTTTATAAGTGAAGGGTTCCATTTAGGAGAGAGTTCTCTGATACAGCAGGTGCAGTCTGACACTACGTAAAGAAGAGTTAAGATGGTGACCAGAGCCATTTATTTAGGAGTTGGGCCAGAGTGTTTCCTGCATTAGGATGCCTTTACGTGACATTACAACATTCTATGGCAGCCATGTTAGTTCTCCATAATCATTGCAGGGATTGTTCTGCTCTTGTAATCCTTGAGCAGGCCGCCTAAGTGTTTTTACGTGGGGCTTAAGTCCAAACGTTGTGTAAAAATAAAATAAAAAACTACAGATACAATACGTAGAAAATAAATTGGATCCATCATTTCTTTTCAATAATATATAATTTGAAAACTAACAATGACCTAAATAAAACCTAGACAGGGAGAATAAAAAATGCCCTAAACAATGAATTTAGCAGTATTCATTTTGTTATTATGTTAGAGCAAAAGAACACTGCATTATCCATGGCAAAATGCATAGAATTGCAGGAAATTAGCTTTAAACTAGCATTTCCTCTCAGATGCATGGAGAAAATTATAGAATTGCATTAAATTGGCTGAAATTCTATACTGAACAATTTCAACGATTTTACTGAGTTAAAAATTCATATAAGGAAATTGAAATTGATTCATTAGGCCCTAATCTATGGATTTCACATGACTGGCCAGGGGCGCTGCCAATTAGAAAGAGTCTTTACCTCAAAAGGGCTTTACTACAGACAGAAATACTCCTTAGTTTCATCAGCTGTCCGGGTGGCTGGTCTCAGATGATCCCGCAGAAGAAGCCGGACGTGTAGGTTCTGGGCTGACGTGGTTACACGTGGTCTGCGGTTGAGGCCGTTTGGACCTACTTCCAAATTCTCTAAAACAACGTTGGATGCGGCTTATGGTAGAGAAATGAACATTCAATTATCTGGCAACAGCTCTGGTACACATTCCTGCAGTCAGCGTGCCAATTGCGCGCTCCCTCAAAACGTAGACATCTGCGGCATTGTGTTGTGAGACAACTGCACATTTAAGAATGGCCTTTTATTGTCCCCAGCACAAGGTGCACCTGTGCAATGATCATGCTGTTTAATCAGCTTCTTGATATGCCACACCTGTCAGGTGGATGGATTAACTTGGCAAAGGAGAAATGCTTTGCACACACTTCTGAGTCACCTGCCTTAACTCTACACCACACACACTGATGTTTAGAGGGAGTACCACTTTATAAACGTGCACACACCGCTCCTCCCTCGCACCAGCCGACCAACACCATTATCCCTGATGGACAAAGCTCTCGCCTGTTAACCGTTCCTTCAATACGCAAGACATTAGTGCACAACATTTGAGAGAAATATGCTTTTTGTGCGTATGGAAAATTTCAGGGATCTTTTATTTCAGATCATGAAACGTGGGACTAACACTTTACATGTTGCGTTTACATTTTTGTTCAGTGCACAATTTCTCCACAGCGCCAAGGTGGGGGCCTATAAAATGTAGCTGCGCCAACGGCCGACCTCTCTCATTGCCATGCCCACTGCCACGCCCACCACCTAAACCCCTTTTCTACACAATAAACACCCTGCGTGGGGATTATGCAAAATAATTACAATTTAGTACTAACACTGGAGTGATAGATGTCCAGAAGAGGATGTGCAAATAGAGATACTGGGGTGCAAATGAGCAAAATAAATAACAATATGGGGATGAGGTAGTTGGGTGGGCTAATTACAGATGGGCTGTGTACAGGTGCAGTGATCGGTAAGCTGCTCTGACAACTGATGCTTAAAGTTATTGAGGGAGATAAGAGTCTCCAGCTTCAGAGATTTTTACAGTTCGTTCCATTCATTGTCAGCAGAGAACTGGAAGGAAAGGCGGCCAAAGGAGGTGTTGGCTTTGGGAATGACCAGTGAGATATACCTGCTGGAGCGCATACTATGGGTGGGTGCTGCTATGGTGACCAATGAGCTAAGATAAGGCGGGATTTGCCTAGCAGTGATTTATAGATGACCTGGAGCCAGTGGGTTTGGCGACAAATATGTAGTGAGGGCCAGCCAACGAGAGCGTACAGGTCACTACAGTGATAACATCCCCTCACAGGCTGGGCCCTGTTCCCTCCCTGCCTCCCAAATAGCACCCTACTCCCTACATAGGGCACTACTTTTGACCAGAGCCCTATGGGATTCCCTATGGGCCCTGGTCAAAAGTAATGCACTATGTAGGGAGTAGGGTGTCATTTGGGATGCAAAATGCGAGGCTCTGATGTGTTCTGTTGTAGTTGATGCTTTAGTTCTCCACAGCAACAGCAGCATGAGGGGTAGAGATGAGGACTAGCTGATCCCATTGTGATGGAGGAATCACTACACTGGGCTGTATGGAATGTCAATATTTAATGAGAGACACTGGGAGGGGGAAAAGGGAGGGAATTCTAAATGTATGTTATCTCTGTATGAAAAACACAATGTACTCCGAAAGCCAAAACGCTACAGTCAAGAACAGACACTGCTCTGGTTGTGTCCAAGTGGAACCCTATTCCCTATAGACTGCACTATAGGCCATGGTCAAAAGTAGTGCACTATATAGGGAATAGGGTGACATTTGGGACACTGCCTCTGTCTGAGTTAGTTGGTAAATAGAACACAGATCAGAATAATGTCATGGTAACGGTTTTTGTGGGGGGGAGTGGCCTACCTGCTTTACACAAACATTGCATTTGTTTTTTTGCCATTGTCCAGCGTTATCAGATCAGTACACACCAAGGAAAGGAGATAAGAGGAAAGGAAGCCACCCAAGGCATATCATCCCAATATGTCTAGATCAGTGGTCATGGAGGGAAGATGGATAGGAACATAAGACAGGGTAGAGGACCCCAGAGTAGGGGATATGTTTTATTTGATTTGAACCCATCCCTCCCCCTCCTTTCCTACACTCCACTATAGTGGGGGACTAGACTTACGTCAAAGTTGTTGAGCGCGTAGGCCAGCTCTCCTCCCCCGGCAGGGTGGTTGAAGGCAGCATCATCTGAGGCGGTGGCCTGGGCAGCATTAGAGATGCCGGAGACAGCTTGCTGAAGCTGCTTGTAGATCAGGTCACGGTTCGCCTGGAGAACGGAATTAAACTCAATGTTATTTAGGGGGAACTAAAAGATAATACGTCAAGAAGATGTGGCTTTGAAGTGCTTTAAGATTCTGTATGTAATGAAATGTGGTATGAAATGTGGTATGAAATGTGGTAAGTTCAATCTATTCTAATTTCCTCCCAGAGGAATAGCTCTTGAAAGCATTCATTAAAAACAGTTTCAAGGACCACTTAGTGAGCCGTAATGTGGTCCTCAATGGTAAAACAAACATCTAAATTATTTTAAAAAAGACAGGACAAAAGTTACAAAACATTGTTATGCCCCAAATGGCAGCGTATTCCCTTCATGTCGCACATATGGCTTTGGTCCAAATCCAGCTCACTATAGGGAACAGGGTGCCACGTGGGCCGCAGCCGCTATAAACATTACAGACCTTGTATGCGGCCACGTCCGGGTGTTGGAGGCAGGCGCGTGAGGCGGTGTAGAGCATGGGAATGTTCCTCTGGAGAACACCGCGGGCAGCCGCCATCTGATCCTTATGGTGAACATCCTTCAACTCCTACAGAGAGGGAGAGACAACGGTATTATTATTATTATTATTATTACACCATTTGGAAACATTACATTGCCTTAGCGACTTCTACTCTCCTTTCTGCCTGTCTGTCATCCCCCTGCGGTGATACGGCACAGTCATTAACCAGCCCATTCCAATAGGTCCTGCCGTACAGCCCTAATGCATGGCCCTGCCGTACAGCCCTAATGCATGGCCCCTGCCGTACAGCCCTAATGCATGGCCCTGCCGTACAGCCCTAATGCATGGCCCTGCCGTACAGCCCTAATGCATGGCCCTGCCGTACAGCCCTAATGCATGGCCCTGCCGTACAGCCCTAATGCGTGGCCCTGCCGTACAGCCCTAATGCGTGGCCCTGCCGTACAGCCCTAATGCGTGGCCCTGCCGTACAGCCCTAATGCGTGGCCCTGCCGTACAGCCCTAATGCGTGGCCCTGCCGTACAGCCCTAATGCGTGGCCCTGCCGTACAGCCCTAATGCGTGGCCCTGCCGTACAGCCCTAATGCGTGGCCCTGCCGTACAGCCCTAATGCGTGGCCCCTGCCGTACAGCCCTAATGCGTGGCCCTGCCGTACAGCCCTAATGCGTGGCCCTGCCGTACAGCCCTAATGCGTGGCCCTGCCGTACAGCCCTAATGCGTGGCCCTGCCGTACAGCCCTAATGCATGGCCCCTGCCGTACAGCCCTAATGCATGGCCCTGCCGTAGAGCCCTAATGCATGGCCCTGCCGTAGAGCCCTAATGCATGGCCCCTGCCGTACAGCCCTAATGCATGGCCCTGCCGTACAGCCCTAATGCATGGCCCTGCCGTACAGCCCTAATGCGTGGCCCTGCCGTACAGCCCTAATGCGTGGCCCTGCCGTACAGCCCTAATGCGTGGCCTGCCGTACAGCCCTAATGCGTGGCCCTGCCGTACAGCCCTAATGCATGGCCCTGCCGTACAGCCCTAATGCATGGCCCTGCCGTACAGCCCTAATGCATAGCCCTGCCGTACAGCCCTAATGCATGGCCCTGCCGTACAGCCCTAATGCATGGCCCTGCCGTACAGCCCTAATGCATGGCCCTGCCGTACAGCCCTAATGCATGGCCCTGCCGTACAGCCCTAATGCATGGCCCTGCCGTACAGCCCTAATGCGTGGCCCTGCCGTACAGCCCTAATGCATGGCCCTGCCGTACAGCTCCGTACAGCTCTGTGCTACTGGCTCCCAGCGTTATGTTTTTTTATAGAAGGGAGAGACAGCACAGACCGCTGCCTCCCAAATTACACCCTATTCCCTATATAGGGCACTATAGGCCCTACAGGCACTAGTCAAAAGTGCACTATATAGGGAATAGGGTGCATTTAAAATGCAGCCATGGATTAGGCAGAATAAACTGAAAGGCTTGGAAAAGGAAGCCGTTGACACAAAGGAAATCACCATCGGTCTCCGCCTCACACACGAGCGTACGGCCGTGTTCACACAGCAGGAGGAATCGCATACAGATTGGTGGATCTCAAGTTTATATTAGCCTGCCTGCCTGCCTGTCTGCCTGCCTGCCTGCCTGTCTGCCTGTCTGCCTGCCTGCCTGCCTGCCTGTCTGCCTGCCTGTCTGTCTGCCTGCCTGCCTGCCTGCCTGTCTGCCTGTCTGCCTGCGTCTGAACAGCCTAGTGACACCACTCATCCTATTACATGACGGAGACCCATTCCCTCTGCTACACTTATACTGCCATGTAAACTTGTCACGTCTGGAACGTTACCTCCGGAGGAAGAGCACAACACTCCCCCATCTAAGCACAACACTCCCCCATCTAAGCACAACACTCCCCCATCTAAGCACAACACTCCCCCACTAAGCACAACACTCCCCCTCTAAGCACAACACTCCCCCATCTAAGCACAACACTCTCCCCAATCTAAGCACACACTCCCCCATCTACGCACAACACTCCCAATCTAAGCACAACACTCCCCATCGAAGCACAACACTCCCCCATCTAAGCACAACACTCCCCCATCTAAGCACATACACTCCCCCATGATAAGGCACAACACTCCCCCATCTAAGCACAACACACTCCCCTCAATCCCCCTCAAGCCACAACACTCCCCATCTAAGCACAACACTCCCCAATATAAGCACAACCTCCCCCATCTAAGCACAACACTCCCCCTCTAAGCACAAACACAACACTCCCCTAAGCATCCCCCTCTAAGCACAACACCCCTCTAAGACACATCCCCTCTAGACAACACGCAGTTGTTCAACAGAAGGTCTCGGAGCCAACACTCCCCCTCTAAGCAGTGTCAACAGAATGTCTCGGAGCCAACACTCCCCCTCTAAGCAGTGTCAACAGAATGGTCTCGGAGCCAACACTCCCCCTCTAAGCAGTGTCAACAGAATGGTCTCGGAGCCAACACTCCCCCTCTAAGCAGTGTCAACAGAATGGTCTCGGAGCCTTACTGTAAACACTCTTACTGTAAAAATGTTGTAATAGCATAGCAATGTTTTTTGAAAACAGCTGAAATGTACAGACATTTTCCTTATTTTGGAGTGGTTTTGAGTTTTTACCTGTAATTGTAGTAACAGCCGGTTACATTCTGACATGTTCTCTGTAGCTTTAAATCTGTGCTTTTATTTTTTACTTGACTGCACTTAGCCACGAGGTCCAGGCAAGAAGCCACGAGGTCCAGGCAAGAAGCCACGAGGTCCAGGCAAGAAGCCCTCCACAGGGAAGCCACGAGGTCCAGGCAAGAAGCCACGAGGTCCAGGCAAGAAAGCCACGAGGTCCGCCACGAGGTCCAGGCAGAAGCCACGAGGTCCAGGCAAGAAGCCACTCCACAGGGAAGCCACGAGGTCCAGGCAAGAAGCCACGAGGTCCAGGCAAGAAGCCACGAGGTCCAGGCAAGAAGCCACGAGGTCCAGGCAAGAAGCCACTCCACAGGGAAGCCACGAGGTCCAGGCAAGAAGCCACTCCACAGGGAATTATCAACATTTTGAAATCGCAATTTGCTTTTACCTCAATGACTTCCATATTGACGAAATTAAGCCTGGTTTATTCGAAGGCGACTAACACGGTAGCTAGTGTAAACCTAAGAGGTCATATCTAGCTATGGTTCAGCTAAACATTCAGCTAGCCAGCACGTTTATGTGAGGAAGCAGAAATGATTTTGTTTAGCTAGCTAACGTTACACCTAGCCGCGTAGCCTATATTATAATATTCGTGACACTAATGATAACGTTATTGTACTTTTATATTCGTATGGGAGGGGTAAACATTAAATGATTGATTATGCTAACGTTGCCTGATCATGAAACATGGTTGTTAGCTAGCAGGAGTTTTGCTGTGTATTGTCAGCTAATTGAATATGTACGGACAAGAAAATAAACCCTTTGTCTGCTTGTGGATCGTTGCATTATTTAAGTGTGTAATATGGTTTGGTTGCATTATTCAATATTGTAATATGTTTTTAGTGTAAAAGTTTTTCGGATTGTTAAATAGCTTGGCTAGTGGGTACTGTGATATTTACAGTAAATCTGAGCTGCGGACCAAGAACGTCGCGTTGCCAGCCACAGCGAAAGGCAAGGCAGTAATGTGAAGGGAAAAGTAGAAATCTCTTTGGCCACTCCGCTGCTCAGACTCCATCTCTCGTAGTGGAAACAGGGCCTCGGCAGCTAAGCCACTCCGCTGCTCAGACTCCATCTCTCGTAGTGGAAACAGGGCCTCAGTAGCTAAGCCACTCCGCTGCTCAGACTCCATCTCTCGTAGTGGAAACAGGGCCTCAGTAGCTAAGCCACTCCGCTCCTCAGACTCCATCTCTCGTAGTGGAAACAGGGCCTCAGTAGCTAAGCCACTCCGCTCCTCAGACTCCATCTCTCGTAGTGGAAACAGGGCCTCAGCAGCTAAGCCACTCCGCTGCTCAGACTCCATCTCTCGTAGTGGAAACAGGGCCTCAGTAGCTAAGCAACCTAATAACATCTCTCTCCGATGTTGCTCTCCCTCTCGTCTCCCACTCCCTCGCTACATCTCTCCACCCTGTGTCACACCATCTCCTTCCTCTCACCATCCCTCTCAATCCCCCACCTTCCTTAACACCCACGCTCCCTCTCCCCCGTCCCTCACCTACCCCAACGGTCATCCTCTCCCCCTCTCCAACCCAGAAACCTCCCAGGGTACGGACCTGACTGCCGTCTCTTGGCAGCCATCTCACACCCCAACCTTCCTCCCTGCCCCTCTCCTCCCCATCAGACAGTCCAGTACATACCTGCTGTCTCTTGGCAGCCATCATGTTGAGTTTGTCCACTTCTGGTTTCAGGGCCTTGTACTGGATGCCCAGGTCCTGCTCTGTTCCAGCGTTTCGGACCTTCACCAGGTTCTCCTCCACCTAGAGGGGTTACAGAGGAACACACCTGGTTTAGATAGGAACATAGGCAGGGTTCTCCCCAAATAATATAAGGAGGGGTGCTGCGTTACCTTGTGGACTGGCTGCACCACTATGAAAAAAGAAGGTTGATATTTAATTATTGATTTACTTTATTTGTCATCATTTAAGGCCAGGCACCACACGCTTGAGTATTTTTTGCTCTAGATTGCAGGAAATGCGCCCCCCCCCCTCAAATAATCCTTCATCTCTGGCATGTGAAATGTTGAATATATTCAAACATTCACACATATCAGCAATAGGAGAATTTCTCTGAGAGATGCTCGAAAGATGAGTGCTGAGAGAGAGATAGAGCTGGAAGGACGAGTGCCGAGAGAGATAGAGCTGGAAGGACGAGAGCTGAGAGAGATAGAGCTGGAAGGACGAGTGCCGAGAGAGATAGAGCTGGAAGGACGAGCGCCGAGAGAGATAGAGCTGGAAGGACGAGTGCCGAGAGAGATAGAGCTGGAAGGACGAGTGCCGAGAGAGATAGAGCTGGAAGGACGAGTGCCGAGAGAGATAGAGCTGGAAGGACGAGTGCCGAGAGAGATAGAGCTGGAAGGACGAGTGCCGAGAGAGATAGAGCTGGAAGGACGAGTGCCGAGAGAGATAGAGCTGGAAGGACGAGTGCCGAGAGAGATAGAGCTGGAAGGACGAGTGCTGAGAGAGATAGAGCTGGAAGGACGAGTGCTGAGAGAGATAGAGCTGGAAGGACGAGTGCTGAGAGAGATAGAGCTGGAAGGACGAGTGCTGAGAGAGATAGAGCTGGAAGGACGAAGAGAAACCAATTCTCTCATTATTTGATCATGTCAGCAGCAGGTTTTGAACGGCACAATTGAAATGTACTCTGGAGAACAGCAGGATCAACATTCATGTTCAATGCTCCCACAAGTCATTCAGCTCCTTATATACAGATCCTAGCCTGCATTTCACATACAGGGTTCTGGAATAAAATGGCACCCTATCCCCTATATAGTGCACTACTTTGACCAGGACCCACAGGTTTGTGCACTCTAGGCCCTTAGGGCTCTGTTCAAAAGTATTGCACTATATGGAAAAGGGTACCATTTTGGACTCGGAACAAATCTGTGCTGGGAAAGCTGTTCTTTCCGTGAGCTGCCAACACAGTCAACATGCCTCCCCTCCACTCAACAGTCCATTAAAGACCAGGGCCTAGACTGCAGTATATGCTAAATGATTCAATAGCTGCTACAACAGAAAAACTTTACCATAAAAAGTACACTAGCTATATCAGCGTAAAATGCACATGTTTACAGTAGTCTACCTAGCGTTCAAGGTTGGGCTTTGTTAATATTGCAAAGGAAAAAAGGAACGCCCATGTACATTTATGGAGGGAATTGAGAGGAAGAAGAATAGAAAGGGGTTAGTATGTATCTAACCCTAAACCCTTTAGTAATAGAAAGTTACATATCAACTTACTCCTCCTGTAGTCAGTCAATTGTTATCATTCACAAACGGCACCCTATTCCCTATATCGTGTACTACATAAATAATAGGGTGCAATTTGGGATGTAGCACATTGAGTCTTTACTTCACCATGTGCCAGATCATGTATCCAAAACAAAAAGGTGTTTTTTTTATCTGTAGTTCCCGGGTAGTATTCCGTGTTCCTCTGCCTAGAGAGCACAGCTGGTGAATTGCCTGCCCTTCTGTACGAGTCTAGGCCACATGTTAACAACATGTGATAGCTTGCTTTCCTTTTCACAGAGCGAGAGAGAGGCGCTCTAGGCCGGGTCCCTCTCCTATGGGCTCTGGTCAACATTAGTGCACTATGTAGGGAATAGGGTGCCATTTGGGACTCGGCTGTAGCCAAACCCAGGTTGAGAACTGAAATCCCATCAATAAACTCATGTCTAAAAGGCTCGGACATTATTGAGGCCAGAGGCTAGGCTAGCTGTAGTCTATATTATTGAGGCCAGAGGCTAGGCTAGCTGTAGTCTATATTATTGAGGCCAGAGGCTAGGCTAGCTGTAGTCTATATTATTGAGGCCAGAGGCTAGGCTAGCTGTAGTCTATATTATTGAGGCCAGAGGCTAGGCTAGCTGTAGTCTATATTATTGAGGCCAGAGGCTAGCTGTAGTCTATATTATTGAGGCCAGAGGCTAGCTGTAGTCTATATTATTGAGGCCAGAGGCTAGGCTAGCTGTAGTCTATATTATTGAGGCCAGAGGCTAGGCTAGCTGTAGTCTATATTATTGAGGCCAGAGGCTAGCTGTAGTCTATATTATTGAGGCCAGAGGCTAGGCTAGCTGTAGTCTATATTATTGAGGCCAGAGGCTAGCTGTAGTCTATATTATTGAGGCCAGAGGCTAGCTGTAGTCTATATTATTGAGGCCAGAGGCTAGGCTAGCTGTAGTCTATATTATTGAGGCCAGAGGCTAGGCTAGCTGTAGTCTATATTATTGAGGCCCGAGGCTAGCTGTAGTCTATATTATTGAGGCCAGAGGCTAGCTGTAGTCTATATTATTGAGGCCAGAGGCTAGCTGTAGTCTATATTATTGAGGCCAGAGGCTAGCTGTAGTCTATATTATTGAGGCCAGAGGCTAGCTGTAGTCTATATTATTGAGGCCAGAGGCTAGCTGTAGTCTATATTATTGAGGCCAGAGGCTAGGCTGTAGTCTATATTATTGAGGCCAGAGGCTAGCTGTAGTCTATATTATTGAGGCCAGAGGCTAGCTGTAGTCTATATTATTGAGGCCAGAGGCTAGGCTAGCTGTAGTCTATATTATTGAGGCCAGAGGCTAGCTGTAGTCTATATTATTGAGGCCAGAGGCTAGCTGTAGTCTATATTATTGAGGCCAGAGGCTAGCTGTAGTCTATATTATTGAGGCCAGAGGCTAGGCTAGCTGTAGTCTATATTATTGAGGCCAGAGGCTAGCTGTAGTCTATATTGAGGCCAGAGGCTAGCTGTAGTCTATATTATTGAAGCCAGAGGCTAGGCTAGCTGTAGTCTATATTATTGAGGCCAGAGGCTAGGCTAGCTGTAGTCTATATTATTGAGGCCCAAATGGTACCCTATTCCCTATGGGTCGTGGTCAAAAGTAGTGCACTTCATAGGGAATAGGGTGCCATTTGGGCCACACACTATCTGGAATGCAGAAAGAGCCATCATATCTCAGTCTCCTGCAGTTGGCTGGCAGGCTGGCAACACCAACACGACGCCACAGGGTGGCCAGTGTCCAGAGCGTGCCAGGGCCTCGTCTCTCTCGGACACCAACACGACGCCACAGGGTGGCCAGTGTCTAGAGCGTGCCAGGGCCTCGTCTCTCTCGGACACCAACACGACGCCACAGGGTGGCCAGTGTCCAGAGCGTGCCAGGGCCTCGTCTCTCTCGGACACCAACACGACGCCACAGGGTGGCCAGTGTCCAGAGCGTGCCAGGGCCTCGTCTCTCTCGGACACCAACACGACGCCACAGGGTGGCCAGTGTCTAGAGCGTGCCAGGGCCTCGTCTCTCTCGGACACCAACACGACGCCACAGGGTGGCCAGTGTCTAGAGCGTGCCAGGGCCTCGTCTCTCTCGGACACCAACACGACGCCACAGGGTGGCCAGTGTCTCTGACTTCGCTGCTACCCGAGAGAAGAGCTCAGAGCCTCAGTTACAGCAAGAGCACTGCCTCAGTCCGGATGTGTCTTAAACGGCACCCTATTCCCTATATAGTGCACTTATTTTGACCAGGGCCCATGTGGAATAGGCACTACATAGGGAACGCGTTGCCATTTGGGACACAGTGCAAATATCTGGAAGGCACTAACCCAGTGAAGTGGTGGGCTATAAACAGAGCCATGATAAGATAAGGTAAAGTGGAAAAACTCAATGTTAAGAGCCAGTATGGGAACGTTTTTAAAATAACCAACTAGAACACAGGGTGGGGCCGAGCCCACGAGGCAATATCACACATAGCTGTGGAGGATTTCTAACATCAAGAGTAGAACCTAGTGCTTTTCTAGCAAATCTCTTTCTGCTTGGTTTCACAAGTTAATCATAGCATGTCTGTAGCGGCCTCAGAGTATGAGTGCAGATCTAGCTGACCATATAATATTATGATTTTAAAAAGGCAAAACAATCCTAGATCTGCACCCGGAAGTCCATAGAGGCCCTAGTCATTTCCTTTTCAACCTGCTGTCCTGTCTGAGCTTGAAGAATGACAGATGTCGGCCATTTTAGAACCTGGCTGTAAAAAAAAGTGACTCCACTTCATTGTTGACGTTGTTTGACACAAAGACCTCACCGTCTGGCTGTGTCGGTGTAATTACATCAGAACAGGTTACTCACTGACAGAGATAGTGTTCTGAAGTCCGCGTCCCAAATGGCACCCTATTCCCCTATAGGCCCTGGTCAAAAGTAGTGCACTAAATAGAGAATAGGAAGCCATTTGGGACTAAGGCTATGATAGATGATAAACAGCAAGGTCGTCTCGGTTGACTGGAGGTGTGTGGCCTCCTTGTTTAAGGTCAGGATTTAGTTACATTTTCAAAGCAATAAACAACTGAAGTACAGGTGAAGAGATCGACAAACACAGAAGACCTTGTTTGAAATGTAGGCCTTTAGCGAAGACACCAGAACGGAAGTTTGAGTCAAGCAAACTATTTACCTACAAAAATGGCTGAATAACTAGACTTGTGTTGCTTTCTTTTAAAACCTCATTTAAAAAAGGTCATGATTTATATTTATTTCTTTCGCGAAGGAATAAAGAATTGAACATTTAAGTTGTTCATAAGCTAGCTAAATAGTTTTCCTTCAGCTATATGGAAGTTCAGTCATATTGGCTCCTCTATCCTGTCTACAGTGTAAGGTGCATGACCAGCTACCTCGAGATGGAACTCCAAGCCAGAGAGATGAAGACTGAGCTGCAAGTTAACAATGGTTCAGTCTCTCACCGTGTGCATCTATGTGTGCGTCTCTCTCCATGTGTGCGTTACTCCGTGTGTGTGTGTGTGTGTGTGTCTGTGTGTGTGTCTGTGTGTGTGTGTGTCTGTGTGTGTGTGTGTGTGTGTGTGTCTGTGTTGTGTCTGTGTGTGTGTGTCTGTGTGTGTGTCTGTGTGTGTGTGTGTGTGTGTGTGTGTGTGTGTGGTGTGTGTGGTGTGTGTCTGTGTGTGTG